AAAAACTTTTCCTCCTTGATTTACAAATCGACCTGCGCACCCGTGATTGCATCGAGTGGTATCGCAAAGGGATGGAGTCTGAGCAGAACAGCAGGCAGGCACTTGACGCCTCCAAGCGCTTGCAAACAGAGCAGCGGTGGTTTTTGGAAGCCATAAACGTTGTTCTTGACACTGCTAACGGACCACATGGCTCTGCATTGCACCTGTTACGGTCTGCAATGCTACAGCAGCTTCATGAACAGCGTGAACTGCTAGAGTCTTGGTTGTCTGGAATCGAGGGTCGTTCACCAAATCCTGCAGCGACTTCATCTGGTGCGATCATCGACACAAGTGAGTTTATGTCTATGTCAGGCAATGTCGTATACTCACACAATCAATAGGCAAGCATTTTAGCCATCCCCTTGACCGTGTTAATCCTCTCCTCCTTCTCTCTGTGTTCACTGCGCTGGTTCTCAATCTGCTCGGGCAGGTTACTCGCAGGTTGTGCAATTTTGCTTTACGTATGCTCAAGCTTATCATTGAATTCGCGTTACGACAAGGCAGCGGGGGGACGATGCAGGAAGAGGGACTCCTCAAGAGCTTTCCTACAGACATTCGCAGCGTGCGCAAATTGTTCGGCCTGGATCCCATGGTCACAATCTTTGCAGCGTGTCCCACTTGTTCATCGACGTACGAGCCCACATATAACACCGATATCCCCGTGTACCCTGCGCGTTGCCAGTTTCGACGGTTTGCTCATAGCGCTCCTTGTAATGCCAAGCTCACCACACACGGCGTATATCATGGTCACAGTATACGCGTCCCTCGCCGCCCGTTCGTTATGCAAGACTTCGACTCATTTGTGGGAGGTTTGCTGTGCAGACGAGGCATTGAAGATGCTCTCGTGCTGGGGAGCGTGATTGCACAATCCGGTCACATCTACGACATTCGCGGCGGTGCTATAATCCACGATCTCAAGTGTGGCGATGGAAAGCCCTTCTTGTCTGGCGAAGGCCACGAAATCAGACTCTTGTGGGGTCTGTCGGTGGATTGGTTTAATCCTTACCTGAACAAGATCGCGGGCCGGTCAGTATCGACAGGGTCGGTCGCTATGTGCTGTTTGCTTTTACCTCCCAGCCTGAGGTATCAGCCAGAAAACATTTACTTGATGGGCATCATCCCTGGACCGAAAGAGCCATCTAAAGAGGAAATTGATCATTTCCTCCGCCCACTCGTGGACAGGTTGCTCATCTCCTGGAAGGACGGCGTCTGGTTTACGCGGACTTACAGATACCCTCGTGGAAGGCGCTCGCGGTCTGTTTTGGCTCTCGTCATAACCGACCTCCCAGCCGGCAGAAAAGTATCAGGCTCAGCCAGCCATTCTGCGAAGTGCTTCTGTGCGTTATGCTTCTTGACCAAGCAGGAGATCAACAACATCGATATGCATACCTGGAGGATGAAGACACGATCAGATGTGTTCAAGGCTGCGCAGGAATGGCGGAACGCATCGACGAAGACCCGGCGGAGCGCGCTGTTTAAGAGAAACGGAGTGAGATGGTCTGAACTTATGCGTCTGCCATATTGGGACCCGACGCGAAGCGTTATTGTTGATGCTATGCACAACCTCTTCCTTGGTTTGGTACAGTATCACGCTCGTACCATCGTCGGAATGGATATGCCGGCTGCTGATCCATACGATGACGATATCAACGTCGGCATTGATGTTGAACCATTGGATGATGAGCGCCACTCGAAGGTTCTTCTGCAAGTGAGGAAGATCGAACACCTACTGATATCTGTTCCAACCACCAAACAGTTGGGACGAAATTCGAGGGCAGCTCTACGATCTGTGTGTCGCAACCGAGGTGTGGATCAATCCTCCTGGGGTCCCACGAGAAAGCTGAAAAAAATTGTCCTCGTGAATGCGTTGCTAGTGAGTAGTCATTGCAACAAGCGATAGAAAGTCGCCGATCTTTTAACGCAGGACAGCGTACATACGGCTCCCACTGCCGCAAGCTCCTTGGCGGCCGAGTCCACGGTCGCTCACGTATTACCTGAGTTGTTGATTGGAGATGAGTTTGTTGATGAATGTGCGGAATCTACACAACACGAAGACATCGTTATCCGAAGACACACAAGTTCCTCAGTATTCTCGCAACAGGACTTGGACCACTTGCATGCTGACATTGCCCTTACATCACGTCCGACCTATTCTAAAGGACCTCCTTGTAACGTCGGCACCACGGCACGCGGTAAGCTTAAAGCTGACCATTGGAAGGCAATGATCGAGTTCGAACTACCGGTTTCCATGCTGAAGCGCTGGTGCCGGTCGACTACGCCATTGCGTCCTAGGGACGACGCTCGACGTGAATTAGCCCACTCAACCATGCTACTTGCATGTGCCATTAGGCAGGCGACCTCTTATCGCACGTCACAAGAGCATCAGAGAATATATACGGCACACATGCGTGGCTACCTATCCAGCATCTTGCGCCTGCGACCCGAACGATCTTTGAGACCAAATCATCATAATGCTCTCCATTTAGGCGACTTCTTGCTGCGTTTTGGGCCGGTTTATGGATGGTGGATGTTCCCATTCGAGAGGATTATTGGTATCCTTCAGCAAACAGTCACCAACGGGAAATTAGGCAAGCATTAGTTCCCTGAACGTATCAGAAATGCTGATCTCCTATAACAGGACAACTTGAGAGGACAATGCTAGAGACGTTCTGTGCAGCAGCTAATATGAAGGCCTTCATGAAGTGTGCTCATCCCGATGTCCTACGAGAGACTGCATCAATCACCGAGACCTGTTACCAGGATGACGACCGGGGAACATTCCGGACAGACATTCGTAGTTTCCTGAACTTGGGAGATAGCTTGGCTGCCACAGATGTCTCAACAGACTGGAGGAATTGGCGAGAACTCGAACCCGATATATCTGATGCGTTATCAGCAATGACGGTCATTCTCTCCAGAGAGTTGCACCGTTGGGGTGGCGGGTCAAGAGCAATTAATCATCACCACTTTACGCAAGGAGGCATTCGTTATTCCGTTAATCGCTCTGGAGAATCTAATAGTCTGGTGTTCTTTTACGGGACAGCGGATCGTACGCCAGTCCCGGGCATAATTCGTGAGGCTTTTTCTCTTCCAGCGGCAGATTACAGCCAGAAAAAGCCACACACCCACATGCTGTTGGCGGTGCACAGATACAAGACCAGGCCAATCTCCATCGCTGACCCGTTTACAGATTACCCCGACTTCGGAGCTAGCATATATTCTAAGGAACTTCACGCGCAGGTAGAGATTATCACTCCCAGCCGCTTATCTTCCCACGCAATCCGACAGGAGTGGGACAAACATACGTACGTTTTCAAGTCTCTGGCAAAGGTCCGTCGTCATTGTTATCGTTGTCTATGGCCTATGAAGCTCAACATGCCCAGGAGTACTGACCTGACTTTTGATTCTAAGCCGCTTTCCTGTTCTGAACAGACGCTTACCGTGTCTTCCTATGTGTAATAGCATAGCTACAAGCATAACCGTGTATATATAGCATAGGTACAAATTGAAGCGTCACAAGCATAGCTACAAGCATAACCGTAACGGGAGAAGGGTCTGCATAGGTGTATACTTGCGCGGCGCTCGGCACGGGTCATGTCTCGCAAGGGCGTAAGAATACGGATCAAGGTCCCTGCTCCATGCGCACCAGCGGAGGTCGCTTTCATAAAATGGAATAAGCAGTGCTAATTGCCGGCGCTCGAGGCTGTCGCAGATGGGGGAGGTTCCATAATGGGGAAGTCACTGCTGTCTGAAAGGCCCGCCTCTGTTGCAGACCGGTGATTTACGAGGCGCGCGCATTTAATGCAACCTTTCCTGCTACGATTTGGTGAAGGAGAAGGTGGAGGGGAAGGTGACTGGCTCGACTCTGTGGTTGCATCATCTCGTATCGGTACAGGGCGGCTGAGACGATGGCCTTTGATAGGTAGGCACAATGGACGGGAGGACGAACTGGCATGATCCCCCTCATCTTCCGACGCAGATTGCTCGCTCAGGTTTATGCCTTCGAATTCGAGAGTGTCCCAATCAAAGTTGTCAAACACATGCTTGGTACGGTCGCTGAATGCCTGCACGATCCACTCGGGTATCTTCCAAAACCAGTTCCAAGCATATGCCATTGAAGAGAGCACTCCTCGATGCTCGTAAGGAATGCGCCACTCAGGATCTTTTTTCTCCCACCTCTTAATCTTTGCGCATGTGTTAATGAACACAAAGAGCGGGTGGACTTGGCTTTGGATCCTTATTTTGTACGGAGGATCAATCATTTCGGGCGCTGCATCCAGATTGTGACGAACGATGTGGGGGCAGTGGTCTGTCAGTGAGATAACGTCGTACTCCCAGATGCGTGGTTCGAATACCTGGGTATCCATGATCATGAGTGTGATTAGTTAGTTTGTCGTTCAATATATCCTGATATTTACCAGCCTCAAATGATCGCGGCGCTGACACAATGGCAATGTCCGAAGCAGAATGATTTTTTGCAGCAGCCAATACAAGACTCTGTCCAACATAATCCAGGTGGTGTGTCCGTTATCAAATTGGCTGTGCATGTCTTTAGACACTAAAAACAGAATTAAAAGCTGTGGAATGAATGACATGGGAAGACCTACTGCAAGTAAGATTCTGACTCGTGTCCACATTCAATGATCGAGGGAGAAGCCCGATGTTCAGTTCAACCAGCAGAAGCTGTCAATGCATGTAAGCAGTAGCAATATTGTTTCAGTAATGCGTCATACCTTATGGTCTGGCGATGCTCGAGGCATGATGTGTGCCACGTCATTGAGACCCGTTTCAGGAGGTATCAACGTCACGATACAACGCAGTTCACCCAGGGGAAACAGATCCAAGAGCTGTAATTTCTCTGCTTCAGACAGCCTGGGCTTCCTATGGATTCTTCCAGATGGTGTATCTGTCGACTTTGAAATCATTTCAGGTTGCAGAGCCTGCTTCTGGGGAGTGTACGCCTTTGAGCCAAGAGACTCTGGCTTTCTGCGACGCTTGTTGGGTTGTTCAGGTGAGACTGAATCAAATGCGGGTGGTACGTATTTCTTGTTCCTCGAAGGGTTTCGTCGCAAGCCACCATCAACACGAGTACGAGAAACTGAAGTCGTTGTGTTGCCATCCATAGCGTTAGATGCCACAAGGTTAGCTCTACAATCGCAACAACGTTAGAACTCGTGGCGTACACGCACGTCGCACGGCACACGCGCATCACGCACATCCCGATTTCATATCCGTGATCTCAGAGAAGTGTCTTCATTGACCCCGGATAAACCATCTTCTTTTTTTCAGATTCTACTTGCCATTCACTGACCATTCACTAACCTAGTCTCCATTCCGCCCAAAGTCTACATATCAATTACATGCTACTATCCTGTCGCGATCATAGTTGGCCAGATCGTAGCTACGCTTTCTATCGTAGTTACGGCATACGGCCCGGATATAAATCATAGGTCTTCTCACGTGACCGCGTCACTACTGTTGAATGGCTGAGGCGTGGTTCACGCGTCCACATTGCTTCTTCACTGCATACCACTGCATACCAGCAGCAATTGCTCTCTCTAGCTAGCCATGGTCTTCGCTGGAAACCACGATTCTGAGCTGTCTGCAACTGAAGCTACCATGCACCCCGTTCCGTTGGAACTGCTCTCTAGCAAGGCCGTCAACAATGAATCCCCCGCTCTGCCCTATCACCTCGTCTCACCAGCAACAAAGAGACAGATACATTTTGTGAGCCTTTTCCTCCGACAATAGCCTCACGACAATTAATCTTAACCTCAGATGCATGCATATGAGTGGCATTGGGGTCTGGCAAAGGATTCTCTTGATCTAGAAACTCCTCTCAACGTTTTAACGTGTCAGTATGATCATTCTTTCAATTGCCCTTTACTCATGTATAGTGCCACAGTACATCCGGATATGCATGCCCTCCTGAAAGCTGGTCGCTGGGGTCTTATCCCGACGCACAGCGCCATCCAAGCCATTTTTGACATGTCCGAACACAACTACGCATGCACTGCCGAAAACCAGCGCCAGAGTATCTTTCCAGTACATTAACTGTATGTCTTTGAACAGCACATGATTTCATTTCAAGAAAATCTAGCTTTGTGGCGATGCCCTCTACGAGTACGAATTGGTTCCTATTGCATTGAAGACCTCGCTGTACAGCCACACGTCCGGATCTTCCCGCCATTTTGACCGTCCATTCCACAATTTTCCCCGTGTCCTCTCCCATGCACATCCGTACTTCGTTATCCTCCACTTCATCAACATGACTTTCAGTGTCCCCTTTGTGGTATCAAGGCCGCGTCCTCCAATCACGGATGAAGTGCGGAACATTTTAGCTTCAATTGTCCTTACTTGGAAGACTAGCTCTCCAAAGTCATTCGTCACTCCCCGAACTCCACGGCGCTCTCGATCTGAAGCCAGTTTAGATGATGAGGATGATGAGGATGATGAGGAAACTCCCCCCCTTAAAGCGGCAGAAGCGTTCGGATGGATCTCCAAATGTTAACTCTGGTGGCAAGGCGTCGCAGATCTCAGGCAAGCCGCCTTATAAGACGTCGCGTATTCAATGCAAACCATCGCGCGTGCAAGACAAGTCATCTTCCAAGCTATCGCGCATCCAACGCAAACCGTCTTTCGAGGCGTCGCACGTTCAAGGCAAATCACATTCCGAGGGATCGCGCGTCCAATGCGAGCCGCCGTCCAAGGAATCTTCATTCCTAGTGGAGATGGCCCACACACCCATCGAGCCTGTCAATATTTCAGCCTGGCTGAGCACGATGCAATCGATGAAGGATGCACTGTCAGAAGATGAGACCAAGCAGATGGTCATCGAAGTAGCCCAGGATCCAGTGCTCGCTGCATATAGAGCTGAGCCCTGCCGGGAAGTTCAAGAGCTTCTCAGAGACGGCATAAAGCTCTCCGACATCCGTCTGTGCTGTGATTCGCTCGATACTGCATACTTCAGCAGTCACGATTGGGCATGGAAGAAACACTGTCGCCTATTGTGGCTACCATGCAGTGGTGATGATCCGTGAACGTGTAGCTGTACCTTACCGATCGATCTTTGTATTCGTCAGTCGCGAGTGTCTTTCCTGGTAATACTACAATCGGTATCAAGTCCGGCATGGCATTTGCAATCGACTACAGGGTGATGCCATCGAGGAGAGCGCACACTTGTGCAGCGAAGTACGCTGCGTAGTCTGCTAGGCCAAAGTCACGGTTGGAGGTAATAAGCGTCACAAACACAGCAGTCAGGAACGCGACTACCATCAATTGGGACCAAGATGTTGATGACGCGCTATCGCATCCATGCGTTGCGACGAGCTAATGACCGTCAATTGGATAAGATGCGGGCATTAGGTGGAATGACGCACTCGCGACCATATTTTGATCTCCGATGGCCCGTCATCAGTGGAGGCCGTCACAACTAAAGAGTTAAGCACGCCTTCATGAGTCTACAAAGAAGAGGCATATGAACCAGCTGTACAGTATGAGATTTGCGAACTGTAACCTACCGAAATGATTTGTACAAAAGTTGCATCTGTCGGGAGAAGGAAGCAAACCTGAGTGATGTGAACGGAACGAGAACAGAACGAGAACAGCAAAGAATCTCACGAAGAATGTCGCTTATCACGGGTATGTTCAAGCATCTGCAACAGACGTCCTGTAGTAGTGTCGTAGAGGTGAGCGAACCCATCGTCTCCACCTATAACGAGCTGGGTACCGAGTGTACCGACTTGCATTATTCGGTTGCGGACTATCGGGTACGAATACGACCGTACTCGTTCTAACAATGGAAATTTATATTGATCGACGCCGCTGACGAGGTTCGAACCGAACAGGGTTTGTCTGTCCCGTGACAATATCGAATGCCCGCTATTCAAGAGATCAGCATGGCTTTGCAAAGACGAAGGCTAGGAAATTACATCCGCGTGGATAATTGCCTCGCCCACTTCAGTGACCAAGGATCGACGCTGTAGCACAGACTGAAAACAAATTAAGCTTTGCGCAATACCCTGAGATGACAGTTAGAGCTTACACCTCATGAGATTCACAATAGCACAACACGACATTTGTCCCATTGTTGCAGAAGTGAACAGATTGAAGCATATATCCTTCATCATTAACGTCCGTGGTCATGCTTTCTAAAATGCCTGAAAAGGTCGCGGTCAGTGCGGGACGCTTTATCAAATTGGCGATCACCTCACCGCCTGCATTGAGCTTCCAGACGTGAACAGTACCCCCTCCAGCGCTGGCTATCCGGCCGTGGTTGGGATCGAAACTTAAATATTGCACGAATCCGTTGTGGGCGGAAGTTGAAGAACAGAAGATGAATGGAGTCTGATGGACAACTACAGTTGAGACAGCAAGAATGCAAGGCTGAGGAGCGCGACAGACCTGATCATCGTCCCTCTGATAAACTTGCAGGGTGCCATCCGCACATCCGAAGACAAATGCGAGATTGTCTCCCTTTCCGAGATCAATCCAGCGCACGCTGATGACCGGACCGTGGAATACACAGTTTAATTCTTGCAATTTATATCCGGTTTTCAAATCCCAAGCAATGAGGTAGCCGTCGTCAGCTACATTACAGTCAGCGAGGAGCAGGACTGAACACGGGCTCGATGCCCGCACCTGCGGTCAACATTATCGTGCCATCGCAACTTAAAGCGATAACATTGACAGGCGAGTCATGCGCCAAAAATGTGTTTGTGAGGATCATCTATGCATTGCGTAAGCGATATAAGCACTCGCAAAAGTGCCTTTGATAGAATCCCCTACCTCACTCATTATGCGACAAGCACGAGATTGACAAGGACACGTCGAAGTTGAGGCTCGGAATTGAGGGGATGAGGTGTTCAACCTCGATTTTTAACTGTAGAGGATGGAGATAACTACACGAGCGCTACTGCGCGGAAGAATAGTACTACTTACTACGGACTGCCGGAGATGCAAGCGAAAAACAATGGAACGAGCAGCGTACCGATGTTCGCCATCTGGAGCGATGGAAAGCCGGACTGTACTGTTCATGCGGAGTTCAGCACGCATCGTACGGAAGAGTGCTACTAGACGTGTGGACAATAAGTGTCGATCACGGGACAATAGAGCTCGACGTACCTGCACAGAGCGTACGCGACGAGGAGCCCAGCCGGAGGCGCAAGAAAACGATAAAGACGCAGTTGGACAATTAATGTCGATCTCGGGAAAATAGAGGCGGACGACATACCTCCACACAGAGCCCGCTGCGCTGAGCAGCTGGAGGCGCAAGTAGGGAGACAATGGACGAGGAACCACGAGGAACCACAACCACTAGGCATCGTCGGTGTTCGCCGTCTGGAGCGACGGAAATCCGAGAGAAGGATAGTAGAAGGAAAAATTAGTTGTCGACCTCGGAACAATGGATGTCGACTTACCTGCACAGAAAAACATACACGACAAACGGGGAGACAATGGACGAGCACGTTATGCATCGTCGGCGTTCGCTACCCGGAGTGACGGAAAGCCGGGCTGCAGTGCTAAGCAGCGTACGGAAGAATGATGATGAACCGTTTGGACAATAAGTGTCGGCCAGAGAGCGTAGCGATGATGAGCCCGCTGCTCTGAGCAGCCGGAGGCACTCAAGCGGGGAGACAATGGACGTGAGGAGCACTATGCATCGTCGTTGTTCGCCATCTAGAGTGATGCGATAGAAATCCGGGAGAACAATACAGACGGAGTTGGATAATTAGTGTCGACCTGAGCGGCCGGAGACGCAAGTAGGGGGACAATGGACGAGGAGCACTACGGATCGTCGGCAATCACTATCAAGAGTGATGCGATTGAGATGAGGGAGAACGATACTAGACGGAGTTAGACAATTAATGTCAATCTCGGGACAACAGAGGCTGACTTACCTGAGAGAGCTCGCTGCTCTGAGCAGCCGGAGGCACGAGCAGGGAGGCAATGGACGAGGAACACTAGCATGATTCCTCACCCCGTTCCCGCCCCATCGACTACCGCAGCGACAAGATGTCGCGGGACGTTGACCATCGCACGCATCATTCACCCGCGGACTGACCCGCCGTTCTCCCACTCCGTCAACTATCGACAGTTTAGGACGTCGATCGCCGCACGCATCATCCGCTCGCGTTTTTCCAGCTCGTTCTACACCGTGCATTTGTTTTTGATTCGGCACATGTGTCCGCACAGCAGGTACGTATTCTTTCTTTTAGTGATCCATCTGCGAAGTTGCCCATCTTCCTCGATGCAGCCCGGCTTTCCATCGCTTTGATGGTGAACACCGACGACTTTTGTTTTACTGCACTCAACGAAGCCGAATGGTATGATATTTCTGGTATGACATTTCTATTTGAACGCCATGCTTGACATTACGATGCCGATGACGACAATGACACTGTCCGTCAACCGACAGTGCACCGAGAAGGAAGTGGGCAGCCCAGTACCATGGCAGATATACACATATTCTCACTGTTGAGTACATTAACGGTCTATCGATTCAGAATTGAATGGACTCGAATCCAATGGCTCCAAATACTGACATCGCGCGTGCCGTATATTCGTCCGACTTAGCAACATCAGAAACGATGCATGCACGCTAGGAGGCTGTTAGGCTTCAAATGGACGCTATTGAGGCAAGCATTAGACCGAGACAGAGTACAGACGACAGGCTTACTAAGTGAGGTATCTCTTCTTCATCGCTTGCGTACCCTACTCTGGATCACTCAACTTTCGTCAACGACGCTAGCCACTGTGGGTCATAGTAAGATTTCGGTAGACCGCGGACACATTGCCGGCTCGACTTCGGAGATGTAAACGAGAGCTGCTGAATTCGGGGAAGAGCTCAGTTCCCTTTCAATCCCAAGGCTCCTGACGCAGTCTGATAACCGTCTACAGCGGACAACAAGGCGTCGACGTCGTCGTGACGCCAAGGCAGCTGCGCTCTGCGGACGACTTTGTGGCGTTTACTTGCTTCTTCGTCTGTGTGGTCCGAGCTCATCCCAGCAACCTCGAGTTTCTCTAAAATGTTCTCAACAGCATTCCACAAAGCTGGTGAGCTTCCCTTGTTCGCGTTCACGATCTGAGCACGTCTCACGAATATCTATGAGACAAATGATTAGTATTGGTTTACAATGCAACCTGTGACTCACGCCCTGACGCCTTGTGTTGCGTCTCAACGCCGCCGCATCGTTGGCTTTCCTTTCTTCCCAATCGCGAGAGCCTGCATGACGAACCTGTGCTTGCATGCGCCGTAATTTCGCGGTACAGGAGCGCAGCAACGTTGTCTCTGTCATAGTTTCGGGATCAAAAAGAAGAGGGAATTCTGAGCCTGACTTGATTCGCTGGAGAAATTCTCGAGAGAGGAGCAGTATCAGTTCCTTATTCCATAGAGAGCTCAGCTCACTACTCCAATCCATGAGCGGCAACGTAATATCAGGGCCATCTCCAATTCCATCAATGAAGGCCTCGACTACCGAAGGCATTGCACTGGCTGGCAATCTGCCGTCAGCAGGCAGAATGCCCTTAATTCGCAGGTACTGCCTGAATCGTGCCTGTTAAACAAGTCAGATCGCCACGAATTTCTCCAATGACAGACCATAATGACTGACATTGAACGCGTTGTTGCTCCGCGGACCTCTCCGACATTTCGTTCGTGCAGCGGGACGTTCACGATGTTCAACGTCTCCGAAGTATTCATCTTCGTCGAACTCCATTTCCGCAGATCCTCCAGTGACATTGCGACGCGCGTCAGCACTCCCACTGCTCCTGCAGTGAGACTTCTGTTCGACAACCGCGTCTAGCGCTCTCTGCACGCCTTCCTTGATGCCATTCGCTACAGCAAGAGACATCGCCTGCAGCAATCTCGTTAAGTCGCTTTCGTCGACGGAAGGTCCTGAACTGTTGAGACCAGGAGGGTCAAGCTGGAACACCTGTTGTGTGATCGTTCCTCCCTCCGGATGCTGGGCCTCAAGAGACACAAAGCGAGGGTCGTTGTCGATTGCAATGCTATCTTGAACACTGAAAAGACCGTATTGAGATCCCACCCTAGGAAGCTCACTCTCATGCTGCGGGAATATTTAATCGGGCATAAGATGAAACGCGAATCACGTACTCACCGCACTCGATGGACCATTTCGCTCTACATGAGATTCCAAGGCTTCAACCGCAGACACTGACAAAATACCTTGCATCGATTCCTGGTGGAAGTAATCATAGTAAGTATGGGAATGCTAGCAGACGATATACTGAAGATCGTTGACGTAGACAACGCTGCACACTCACCGCTTGTACGTCCTCCGTTGGTTCTGAAACTATCTCACCCTGACTGGACAAAATGATTTCATGCACTTCTAGCTCGTCATCGCTGGAGGGTTCCTCAGAGGACTTTGCATGGATAAGCATCACATAAAATCAGCAAAACAGCGATCCTACTTACCTGGGCCTGACGTGGTTCGCTACTCGCTGCATCGAGCGACTCACGATACATCTCTTGCTACCCATACAATCAATTGCGAGCTGAGTCGACAAGAACGCAAGAACACTTACAGTTACATTGACCCAGGGATTACTAGCCGCATTTAAGATCACTTGCTGAGATGCAACCTGAAGCCCTTATCAGACAACGTGTAACAAGATCTTCAAGCATCTAACCGTGTTGTGCCAAGTACTCGGAACGGCAGACATGACGTCCAGCCAGACGAGCGAAAGAGATGCATATAAACAGATTGGTATGTGGGATATTTATACCTTTCCGGAGACGCAAGCGAGAAAACAACACAGGAGAAGCGTTATGTATCAATGTTCGCCATCCGGAGCGATGGAAAGATGGAAAGCCGGGCTGTACTGCAGAGTTCAGCCGTTTGGACAATAAGTGTCGATCACGGGACAATAGAGATCGATGTACCCGCACAGAGCGTACGCGACGAGGAGCCGACTGCTCCGAGCAGCCGGAGGCGCAAGTGGGGAGACAATGGACGAGGAACACTACGCATCGTCGGTGATCGCTATCTAGAATGATGCGACAGAAATTCGGGAGAATGCTACTAAACATAGTTGGACAACTAGTGTCGATCTCGGGACAATAGAGGCTGACTTACCTGCAGAGAGCCTGCTGCACTGACCAGCCGGAGATGCAAGCGGGGAGACAATGGAGTATCTACGCATTGTTGGTGATCGCTATCTAGAACGATGCGATGGAAATCCGGGAGAACGCTACTGGACATAGTTGGACAATTAGTGTCGATCTCGGGACAATAGAGGCTGACTTACCTGCAGAGAGCCCGCTGCGCTGAGCAGAGCATCCGGAGGCGTAAGCGGGAAGACTAATGTACGTTGAAGACGTAGACCAGGTCATTAAACGACAACGTAATCTCCACCGGCTGCGGACGTGCCTTTTGTTAGAAATCGAACGAGGCAGCTTCGCTTGAGGCGGCCGTAACAACCATGGCCCCTCGCCACCTGATACTACAAATGCCACTGTACCGGTATGTTTACCCTGCGATGACCAGGGCATCATTGTTGATTTTGGGAGGGCATGTCTCGAACGACGTCGCAGGAAGTGTGTATCTTCGATAAAGCCCACGTCCTAGGTACGATTTCACGGGAAGCTGGTCGAAGCCGGACAAAGCTAATGTCTCGTCGATACAAAGGTCGACTTCGCAGCGCCTGTTGTCGACAACGCGGATGTGTTCGGTGCCGCGTATCCTAAGAGGAAGCGTTCGAATCTTCGGTAACGCTTCACGCACTCGTGGATCTGATAAAAAGACATCGAGGCTGACAGATTCTAAACGACATATCGCATGAGTAATATTCCGGATTGGAGATGTCGCAATTCAGACTTACCGTGAGTGGCAGGAGATTTCGCATGTGAGATGGTGGAAGGAGCACTCGAACTCGAAGCAAGCTGATCCAAGATTTCTTCCACCGTAACAGGTTCTAAAACATACTGCATGAGTGATATTCCAGATTCATCGCGATCCCGAAAACTTACTGTCAGGTGGAGGAGGCTTTTCAGCTGGAGCGGTGGAAGGACCACCCACATTTGCATCACTCGCATCTGCACCACTCGCCTCTGCAGCAAGTCGGTCCAGCATGACGGCCATCGATATATCCGAAATATCAGACGATGCTACCCATGCTGCTCTCTGTCGGTAATCTTCCACGGTTTCAGGCCATTCGGGACTGAGGGGCTCAACATTGGGCGACCACGGTGGAATTGATGCCCCCGAAGCTGCAACCGATTCCGATGAATTGCTACCCAGCTGCTTCTTCAGCCGGCAACATGTCCGAACAGAGGTAGAGCACGTGAGGATACGGCTTCTCTCGAGGGATCAGCCCGAGGGTTGCAGGATAGTAGGTTTGGACCTCCATCGTGGTGACTCGGATTTCGTCTAACACTGCATATATGACACTGATTACACATCCGATCACGGGAAAGGTGATCCAACCACGCGCAAAAAACCGTCCCTCAACAGATCCTCCAGGTCATCATGGTCCACGATCCCATCTTGATAGTTGTAGAACGGTTTGAAATTTGCTGGATCAATGACCTACAAAGATTTCAATAGAAAGTCACACATGCCGATGTTGAACTAACCTGACAGGACCCGTTGACCCCAAGTTGCATGGCCAGAGCGCGTAGGTCCAAGTCGCCACTCGGTAAGCAACGAAAGGTCACCTCCTTCACCGGAGTCCACTGCTTGGGACTTTGGAAGAGCCGAATTACCACTTCTCGGG